CTTGCCCCTTCCTGCCCCACCCCTTCCAGGAGTACCCCCCCCCCGTGCCCCCTTTTTTGCTCTCAGGGGGCTGCAAGAAGCCGAGTGCTGACTGTCACATCCCATGGCCATGCCCACAATAGCCACGCCCACCCAGGCGGTCATTAGGGCAGAGAACTGGTTGTTGAATTATTTGAATCTCACCACTGGGCAAAACATGAGAACTGTCTTGCTTAGCAACAGAAATTGTGGCCTCAATCTTGGGCTCAAATTTTGGGTCGTAAGTCAATACTAAACAAATGTTCTCTGACACAGTGTGGTCCAAGTGCATGGAAGTGCATTTAATCCCTTAATCCCCTTTCACTATTGGTTTGGTTTGCGGCTAGAATATTATGAGTGGATCCTCCCATGTCTGTGGAAAAGTTTTACTAATGGCTAGTTTTTTGTCCCTGCTTTAGGCTGAGGAGAGGAGGAAGACATGTGGAGTTTGCAAAATATTGCATCCTTTTGAAAAAAACAAATACACTGACATGTGAAATCCTTTTTAGTTCACCAAATCATTCAGTATAGTTTATGGATCAAAGGTGCACACAAAGTTTATGGATCAAAGTGCATGCAAAAGCTATATACTTATGCTTTAAAATGTCCTGCCTTAAGGGAAATTGCTTGCAAAATATAGACATAACCTATGCAGGTGTTGTAAGAAATGGCAATGAAAATACACAGGAGTTCACTTGTAAACTTTCTATATTTTAGACTTACAAAGAAATGAGATAATTGGAATTTAATGCTGCATAATTGAGAAGCTGAGAGGAGCTGACTGTGAAGTGATAATTTTATTACATTATAATTGTAAAAGTAATGAGAAAAATGGTTTTAAAATATGTATTCGAGCACTGCAATTTTGAATATGTCTAAGCCTGGAAATCTGGCTTCAGTCCAATACCCGTGAGAGATTTTTTCCTATAACTGTGCTGATAAATAAACTAGCAGTTATCAGATTAATGAAGATGCGTCCTTCCTCCACAATAAAGCAAATTTCCAACCCATTTTGTCTGCAAATTTAGAAGAAATGAACAGGATTTCTGGTTCCAAAACTTGTCTGCATTAAGATATCACCTTTGAAAGTAAGGCACTTGGTGAAATTGTGTGCCTGTGTGTGCTGTAACCTTAACTGCTCTGCAAAGATCGTACATTTTTCATCCTTCGGTTGTTTTGAACCTCTAGACACCAATGCATCTTACAAATCTAAAAGGAAACTTTGGTAGTAAAACTGCAACAATGGGAATGTCAAACAAGTAAACAACTTCTTACGAACGTCACTCATCCATATGATAGGGAGGGCATTCACACAACTGATATTTTTCAGTCATTCAGTGCGTTTTTGTCTCTTTAGACTCATTCCTCCAAGATTATTAATATTAATACTTGAATTCTTGTAGGCTTCTGCTGGGGTTTTGTGTATATGTGTGTTTGTGTGTGTGAATACTTTATGTGATAAACAGAACCACAAGTTTGCCAACCACATTTTAATTTTGTATGTTGACCAGCCTGCATTATTTCTTGCTTTTAAACCATAAGGGAAAAAAATCAGAAAACTTCAAAATACGGAGAACATTTTCAGTTAGGAATACATTTTCAATTTTTTAGTTATGCCGTTCTAATATACACTAAGGGACGCAGTGGTTCAGTGGCTAAGATGCTAAGCTTGTCAACCAGAAAGATCGTCAGTTCAGCAGTTCAAATCCCTAGTGCCACATAATGGAGTGAGCTCCTGTTACTTATCCCAGTCCTACATGAAAACAGGGGTAATGTATCCATGAGGGTTTTTTAAAAGAAGAAAATAGCAGGGCTCAGTTGCATGGCCAACATGTAGACACACCCCATGCCCATGCTTGTGAAGTTGCCTCTTGGATTTCTCTTGTGAGATTTCTGACACTGCAGATTAGAAGCACTGAGTGACCCAGAAATCAATTTCCCAGCAAATATTCTAAAGTGCAGGAAAAACTTTGCATGCAAAGTTGGAAAAGGGAAATTGGAATTCATGCTGCATCTGCTGGGACACGATTGTTCAGCATCAGAGTTCTTGAAGGATAATTTGTTTCTATGTTGTCTTATGACTGCCATAATTGGAAGATTTTCACAAAGTAGAATTATGATGGTTTTAAAAGCTTCCAGAGCCTGTGATGTATGATGATAAAAGCCGGAAAGTTTTCAACTGACTTATTAAAAAGAAAAATATACTGCTTTCCTTCCACTATTATCTCCTCTTTGAATGAATTCTTAATTTCAAACAAATACATATATTTGTTTTCATAGATTTTCATGGGTGTAGGTATGCTGGTTTTGTTGTATTCAGGTCTTTTACCGTGTAAGATTGAGATTGTCTTGGCAACGTTTCAGCGAGGTCTTGCTCGCCATCTTCAGGCTGGGTTTTGGGCTTCATGAGACCTCACTGAAACGTTGCCAAGACAATNGTGTTGTGGCCCACCAGCAGCCAGGAGAGCTGGCAGCAGATTCGGCCAGTGGGGAGGGTGGGGAGGAACCTTGGCCAGTCCTGGAGTCTGGGGAAGGCTCTGGTGATGAGGGCTCTGTGTGGGAGGCAGAGAGGGGGCCAGGGCCATCTGACAGTTATCAGCTGCCTTCGGAGTCAGACATCAGTGAGGCAGAAGAACAGCTGGAGCCTGTCCCCAGTGTGTGCATGTGCAGGGGGTGGACTTGGGAGTAAGGCCACAGGTGGACGATGAATGGCCCCTCCCAGAGGAAATAAAAGAGGAGCGAAAGGGGAGTGGAGTTTGCAGGAGACAAAATTAGTTTGCTTAATTGGTTTGTGACTCTCCAAGGCTCCTTGCCAAGTTCTGCAGATGTTGGCCTGTCAGCTCTCCAAGCCAGAGAAGGTCTGTGACTAAATCCTCCCTTGAAAGACTTTGCTGGAGGCGAATGAGCAGAATTCACAGTCAATAAAGGGTTTTTTTTGTCGGGACCAGGAGTTTGCTGCAGGCTCTTGGGAAGCCTCGAACCGAACTCTCTTCTGAAAATGCTGGATTGCAATGTAGCCTTTAGCCAAGACATCTGGAGTTCTAGGGTTCATAGTTGACCCTGTATTTGTAGGTAGTCCTTTACAACAGTTTGCTTAGTGACCATTCAAAATTACAATGCACTGATTTTCACACTTACGACCATCCCCAGGGTCACGTGATCCAGCACTGGATGCTTGGAACTGGTAACTGGCAACAAGCAAAATCAATGGGGAAGCCAGATTCACTTAGCAACCGTTCTTTCCAACACGCCAGCCTCGGTTGCGCAGTGTTAGAGTGCAGTGCTGCAGGCTCCGTCTGCTGCCTGCCAGCTGCCTGCAATTCTGCAGTTCGATCCTGACCAGCTCAAGGTTGACTCAGCTTTCTGTTCCTTCCTAGGTGGGTAAAATGGGGACCCAGATTGTTGGGGGCAATAGGCTGTGAAAGCACTATGAAGCGCTGTATAAGTCTAAGTGCTATTGCTATTAACAACTGTAGTTACTCACTTAACAACTATGGCCAGAAAGGTCATAAAATAGGGCAAAATTCCCTTAACAACTGTCTTTAGTCATGGAACTCAATTGTGGTTATAATCCAAGGGCTGCCCGTGCTTATTTCCGAGTTGCTCCGATTCCTTGTGGCTGATAAATCTACACATTGCACATTGCATTTTAAATGCTTCCCATTCTACCAGGCCAAGAGAATACCAGTAGCATCTTTTCTCCTCTGGTAGCTGGAAATACTTTCACTGGGGGCTGCTGATGCTTATGCGAGTCAAAACCAGGCTGAAGAGCTGAAGAAGCTTCTCGCATGAGAAGCAAAAGGAAGGAAAGCAGAGAGGTCCTGTGGCCTCTTGGAAAAGCACCTTTGGGACAACCATGACCTGGATGACCGAGAATCTCCATAGAAATCAAAACGATGTTTTCTGCTCTTCCCCCTTCAGTTGCCTGGAGGTGTTTCTGAAGTTTCCTTAGGCGATCAGCGAGGTTGCGCATAAAAGAACATCTCAACAAAGAGGCTGTCAGAGAAGGGGCGAGGAGTCCTATTTGCTACAAGGGCTGGCTTGCAGGACATAGAATCCCAGGGTTAGAAGGGACTTTGGAGGTCTTCTACTCCAGCCCCTCCTTCAAGGCAGAAGACCTGATACCATCCCAGTCAAGAGGCTATCTAGAAAGAGTGCAGAGGAGAGCAACCAGGATGGATTAGGCCACTGGAGGCCAAAAGGTTCAAAGAACGGTTGCAGGAACTGAGCATGGGTGCTCTATGCTCTTCCTCACCTAGGCAGCACGTATAACCAGCCCCGTTTCCCAAAATAAACNCCCCCCCCTCCTTTCACACCTCCCCTGCCTGCAGCCAAAATCCATCTGACTTTCCCTGCAGCCCGGAGACCCAAAGCCTGGCAAGAGGACCTCCTCTCCAAGGATTGTCCATTCGCCCGGCTGCCTTCACTCAACCCGTCAACCCGAGCAAGACCGGCAGATGCCTTCACACGCCAGGCTGGCTCCTTCCACTTGGTCCGCGTGAACACCCACTAAAGGTGACTGGACGAGTCCTCCTTTTTGCGGGCGGGGACGGGGGGAAAGCATTTCACACGTGGGGCCAGCCCAACTCAACCCAACCCAACCAGCTTGGCGAATCCCTGGATCCCCATCGCCGCGCAAAGCCCAAAGTCAGGTGGAGGCTGGCGCGGACGTCGCGGCGGCGAGGGCCAGCCTGCGTCTTTCTTCTTAAAAAGCGGGGCGACCCTCTCCCTCCCCGCTGCCCCCTCCCCATCTCCAGGCAGCGAGCGAGGAAGACGGAGACCGCCGGCTTTCACGAGCGCTGCTAAGCCAAGGAGGGGACGTTGCCTTCGGAGCTGCTTGAGCGGATTCAGCCTTTCCCCGCCGCTTCCCCCACTAAGGAACTCCTGGGCGCCCTGATTCTCCTCGTACTGCTTTTGGGGAGGGTCCCCTCGGAGCCGGGCAGAGGGAGGGAGACCCCGCTTGCTGGAGCGTCGCCTTCTCTCGCCACCCCCGACCAAAGATGGTCAACGAACGCTGGAAAAACGTGGGGAGGTCGGCGCAGCTGGAAGACGGACCTCAGGAGAAATCCCAGGTAGGCATTTCTGGGGTGCGGGGAGGGTGGGTGGAACAGGGGGGTTTCGGGAATGAGCAGGGAGAGGAGAGAAGGGAGGAAGCAGGAGGGCGCCGAGCCATCAAGGGGAGGCGCGGGAGTTGGCGCAGGAAAGGCGCCCCAGCTGCAAAGGTGGACCCCCGTGGCGTTTCTCAACATCTGGATGAGTTGCCCCTGACAGGCGGCCACCTGGGTGTGTGGGGCTGTCCGTTTGGTGGTGGTGGGGAGATGTTAAGAGGGGTAGGGGAGGTCAGGTTTGCAATGACGAGCCTTCTCGACCTGGGAGACCCGAAGCCGGAGAGGCGATCTCGAAAGGACAAGGCTGGGACACCCCCCCCCACCACCGCAGGTGTTCCTTTCAAGCAAGGAAGGAGACCCCAAAACTTTTCAGCCTCCTGTTGAAGCCCTCCTGCCATGGGGTGGCGGTGGGGAAGAGGGGGGGCAATTAAAAATAACACCCCCCTCCCCCCAAAAAACCCTAGTCAGGCGTTTGGGAGGTTTCCTCAGCCTCCTGCACTCCATTGGAGAAGAGGAAGAGCTGGGGATTTTTGAGTGGGGGGGGGGGAGGCAGTTGCACAGCTCCCCCCCCCATTGTGGAAACAGGTGTGCGCTTGCAAAAGGAAGGCTGCGGAAAGCAGAGGAGAAAATTGGATAGGCAGCCAGCTGGCTCTAAGAGCTTAGAAGGCACC